TTTTGTTTTGTTTTTTTTGTTGTTGTTTTTTGTGTTTTTTTATATATATTTTTTTTATTTAACTTTTTTGCAAAGCAGGAAAACATCAAATATTAAACACTCTACATACATAAGAATAAAAAAGAATATGAGAATTAAAATAATAATAATAAAAAAATAAAATGAGACTGGGTTTATTAGACTTAGCTATTTTAATATTTGATGTTTTCCTACTTTGCCTTGAACTGTTTTTTTTTTGTTTTGTTTTTATTTAACTTTTTTGCAAAGCAGGAAAACATCAAATATTAAACACTCTACATACTTAAGAGAAGGATATACACATATATAAGAATACAAATGAAATAAATAAAATAATAAAAAACTTTATTTATTTATTTGTATTCTTATGTATGTGTATATCCTTCTCTTATGTATGTAGAGTGTTTAATATGCTTTAATCCTGCTTTGCCTTGAACTGTTTTGTTTGTTTTTTTTTACATTTTTTTTATTTAACTTTTTTGCAAAGCAGGAAAACATCCAATTTTAAACACTCTACATTCATAAGAGAAGGATATACACATACACAAGAATAAAAAATAAAAAATAATAAAAAAATAAAATGAGACTGGGTTTGTTAGATTTAGCTTGGCCTTCTCTTATGTATGTAGAGTGTTTAATATTTGATATTTTCCTGCTTTGCCTTGAACTGTTAACAAGCTGCCGCCAAACCGTAGAGTTCACCTTAACCTCGCCTGATGATGAAGCCATAAGACCCCCCCCCCTTTCCCATGGGGGGGTGCACTGTGTGGGTGTTTTCAGACAGAACCAGGTGGATCTGTAACCCTCCCTGTGGATCCCGGAGCTCCTCCGGGTCTAACGGAGCCCCGCTGCTGCTTTGGCCTGCCTCTCGCTACCTCAGACTACAAACGCAAACTTCCTTTGGCAAGGGCTTCTGAATTATGGATGTTGATTACTTTGTCATATTATGTGTCTCTGTATAAACCTCTGGCTGATGATACCTGTGATGTTGACTGCCTCGTTTTTGGGCTGATCCTCTCAGTTAAACCCCGATCGGTTCCCTTTCCCTTCATCTGATCATTAAAACTGATCCAAAACCTGAAAGTTTAACCGGTTTATGATTCCCAGAAACGCCAAACGTTAAAAAATCTTCCATTATTTTAAAGCTGTGGGATTTCAATTTTGTTTTTGTTTTTGTTTTTTACCAGAGTTGAACAAAAATACCAACTTTGATGCATTATCTATGTCTTATATATATTATACATATTATTATTATGCATTGTCTACAGTGGGGGAAATAAGT